GATTGGTGTTCTGGACTTAACTGGCTAGGTTAGACATGAAGCGAGACTAATAAGGACTCTAGACTGTTCATACAGGTTTACGCGTCATTGATCCGATCGATAAGTCACTGATCTCTAATTGGTCGTATCATTACATTATCCATTAAGAAGGTACTTAGCCCACAAGTTATAACAGATAGTAAATTAAATCAAATATTCATAAGTATAATTTATTACTCTACAGAATATTTGAGTTAATCTAGTACTGTACTATTGAATGAAGTTAATACAAATGTCAAAATTGTTTTAATGTATGAAGCTGAAACATAAACAATTTCTATAACCATTATGAGAATAAGGTATAAGTATTTATAAACAATTACTTAATATTCATCGATTGGATACTATCAGCAATAGCCATACTGTGGGAGAGAATAAACTAGCTTTGAGATGAAGAGGAAATTAAGAAAAAATGATGGAATTGGATAGGACATAGATTAAGGAAATCATCAAACTGCATCATGAAGCAAGTGCTAGCTTTAAATCTTGAAAGGAAACGGAAATGAGGAAGATCAAATAACACATTGTGTCGCGAATCACAAGCATATATCAAAAGAATGAATAGCAACTGAAAAAAACTGGAAAAGATTATCCAAGACAGAGTTGGTAAGCGGTTTATACTCCTCCATGAAGGTAACAGGCATAAGTTAATAATTATTTGCTGTACTTAAGTTGATGTACTTCAGTTCGGCGGCCTGCTTGAATATCTGAGCCACCTGTTCTTGCCATCTGGATATTTCAACAAGTAATCTGTTTTCTTGTTTGTTTTAACACACCATTATGTCTATTAGACTCATAACCTATTCAGGTGCGTTTATGAAAAGTTTACAACATTTCGCTGTACAAGTTACAAAAGAGCTCAATCAGAGACATCATGGTTACTGGCAATATGCATCGAAAAGGATATACATTTATCAGATGTCGATTCTTGAACCGCTAACATCTAAGTGGCGACCACTCAATATTTATCGCAAGGAACTGATCGAGAAATAAGAAAGGGAAACTTGTTGAAATACTTTGTGCTGAGAATTCTATATTGTACCAAAAATAGAATATTGAATAAAGCCACTAATAATAATAATAGTTATACTTGAGGGTTGAACTTAGTCGATAGAAATTCGTGAAGCTAGGTTTGATGCTGTTTGGCACCAATCAGCAAGTCAATTATACTAGCGATGAATTAGTAATATGTTCGTTAGAATTTGATTAGCACTACGGTTTAGACATAAAAGACATTAGTTCATGAGTCAATTGAAGCTAGACCACCATGGTAAATCTGAAAGCACTGGACGGCCGTTTCGTCTTAGTATAGGACTCTTTAGCAGTGCGCATCCACGATCCCCCCCCCCCCCGCCGCGAGATTCAAACCCAGGACCTATCAGTCTGGCGTGCGAGCGCTTAACCATCAGACCATTGAGCCGGCCGAAATCCAACGGTGTTAATGTCTAACTTCAATCAATCCACGAAGTTGCGCCAGCGTACACCATTGTCTTCAGTGAGCTGATATCTCACAACAGACCTGGTTGAACTCCAATGGTAACGGCTTCTCACTAAAACTCTAGGAAATGCCTCTTAACTTAGTCACTAGTGAGTTGTTTACATTAATTTGTATTATGTAATTCGTGTATCAAATGAAATAAAGACGAAGAAATTAACAAATTTTTTATCAAGTATATGCTACTTATCATAAGTGTGGGTAATTAAAATGAATCTAAGTGATAAATGACAGTGGAATTTTGTTTATAAATCACTTTACATAAGGTTTGTTTATTTAACTGAAATAATTATTTTCAATAGTTGAAATCATGAATCAATTGAAGCTAGACCACCATGGAAAACCTGGGAGCACTGGTTCGAATCCCGCGGGGGGCGGGATAGTGGATGCGCGCTGTTGAAGAGTCTCATACTAGGATGAAACGGCCGTCCAGTGCTTCCAAGTTTTCCATGATGGTCTAGCTTCAATTGATTCATGATTTCAACTATTGAAATGATCGATTCTCCACAAAACCCCTTCTAGTACTGAAATAATTATCATTATAATGATGTTTAGTTTGATTGTTGATAAATCTAACTTCACTAAAATTATGAAGTGGAGTTTAAATACTTATTTTGTGTTATATTCCCCCCCCTCCATTACCTAATTCTTAAACTGACTTTTTATTCACACATTTCCCCCCACTGATTTTCTTATATCATGTTAACCTTTCTAATTCTATTCAATTATTACGTAACCCATTTTATCAATCTTTTAATTCCATGAATCTTTTATTACCTCTATAATTATCAGACAATTTATCTTATCTGTCTTTGAACTCCACTCAATTATTACACCACCCATCTTTAATATTTCCATGATTCTAACACCTAACAACTAATAGTTATTATTCTTAACCATTGTCATTCCAATCCTTTACATTCACTTATCTCAATTGTTCCATACTATTTCTTATCTCCATGTGAAATTCTATCACATATTCGGTTGTAAGCACCTGACGAGAAACCACGAATACATAATGAATTCATATTATTCTGCATCAATATTTGTTCTGGCTTTATTTAAATTCATATAGGGAACTAGTTGCATGAAATTCAACCGTGTCGTTTATGTTATAAGGTAGTTACCAACTGAAAACAATAAAAAAATGATCGTATAATGTTGTGTACTGAATGAAATTAGACATTAACATCATTAGATGTTGAATCAGTGGTCTAGATGTTAAGTGTTCGCATATGAGATTGAAGGTCTTGGGTGGATGCGAATTGGTGAGAAGTCCTATACTAGGATGAGATGGCTGTCAAGTGTTTTCAAGTTTTCATTGGTGGTCTGACATTGATCTGTTCATGATCTCAATGAAAGTTAACTGGGAATCAATAAATGGTTAATAAGTGATATCATTCCGTTCGACTGCTTTCGTTAGGCATATATAATCTTTTATCCAAAACACAAAGGTACTAAATGATTGTACATACTTAATAATTCATTTTTATTGAATATAGTTAAAACCATATAAGACAAGGAATGTTTTGAATTAGCACTGCTAGTTTTCACAAAATAGAGCTATGTTGTAAGACAGAGAAATTTTCGGTTTAGGAACTTTCTATTAGTCTAGTAGTTAAGTGCCCGTGCGCGAGACTGATAGGTACTGGGTTCGAATCGTGCGGGGAGCGAGATCGTGGATGCGCACTGCTGAGAAGTCCCACGATGAAACGAAACGGTCATTCAGTGTTTCCAGGTTTTCCATGGTGATCTAGCTTCAATTGACTTATGATCTCATCCATTGAGATATACGTTAGTCGAATGATAAATTTCGAGTTACTAAAATGAACACAAGGAAATCTATTTCATCTATCAAAAACTATATATTATCACGGACGGAGGTATTATCACTGACACATCTAGTCCACTCTTGATGTATTAGTCTAGAACACCTGAATACATTGTAAGTATTACGTGTTATAGTTTGTTTATTATGATATTTACATATTAATTATGACAACTAATTTCTAAAATATCACCCATATTAACAAAATACCCATAATAATGTAGATGTAGAACAATTTTCAATGGAATTAAATTCTCAATATGGGATTTGCGGAGATAGATCAATGTTAGACCATCAATGAAAACCTGAAAACACTGGATAGTTATTTTATCCTAGTATGGGATTTCTCACCAATGTGCATTCATGACTCGGTATGTAAAAATCCAATCCAAGACCTTCAGTCTCACTGAGTCGACATCCAACGACGTTAGTGTCTAAGTTCAATCAATCATGTTATAATTCTCTCTTACGGTTATAACCCAGATATTCCTATTGCTTAGCATTCTCGGACACCGATTCACTCGGCAAGCCCCCAAATCAGAACACGGTTGAACAGGAAAGAGACTATATTCCAAATAACGAGGTTAGATGGAAATAAGAATCACAATAGGAAAAACGTTAGTATATTTATAGTTTTTACATGAGAATATTTCTAGAATATTCTCCAGGTATCAACTAGCGCTGAAAAAGAAATTGGATTAGGGGTGGTCTTAGTGAGCTGAGGGAGTGTCCATAATGTCCAAGCGACAACTGCCTGAGGTCGATCACGAACGATTTTTTTGTGAGTAACTTTCGTGTTAGCTCTGTACTAGTTGAGACCCTACCGTCGTAGGCAGAAATCCATGGGATAAGGCGAGGTGTCCATTTTTAGGGTTGACCTTTTCTAATCCCACCCTACCTTATCAGATGGTAGAATCGGTGTTATGTTGATTATCTGAAGGAAACACCTTACTGCTGTCACACCTCTGTACAGTCAGCAGTATAACTTTGCCTTCAAACCTTGAGTCTACTGCCTTTAGTCTTACCACTCTTCAACCGATCTGTCTGACATGATAGAACCTTGAGAAACGATTGTTCCAGTCAATGTAACTCGATTGGTTCATTACAATAAGCAAGCCCAACCATTACGTCATGATAGTAACAACGGTCGTTGGTGTCATACCAACACTGATCATATCAATTCGTATAAAATAAAAATGATTAAGATTCATACAATTAATGTAAACAATCATTTATTCATAACACAAAAAATACAGTAAGGAGAGAAAACAAAACAAAACAACAACAACATTCAATGTATTATAGTCTTTAATAAATTGAATTCATCAATAAATCAATCAATAATCAATAAATCATTCAAATCAATGAATCAAATAGATAAATCAATAAATTGATCATAGTAACAATCAAATATGGTTTTTTTAATAAACAAAAACATGTTTATTTATTCATTTGAATTCATCAATAAATCAATCAATAATCAATAAATCATTCAAATCAATGACTCAAATATATCAATCAATAAATTGATCATAGTAACAATCAAATATGGTTTATTTGATAAACAAAAACATGTTTATTTATTTAATTGATTGATTTATTGATTATTTTTCTTTAAAAAAAAATCAATCAATAAAATTATGTACATAAATTTTTTCTATCTATAGATCTATTCAACATTAAAATTGATATAATTAAATAAATTCCTTGTATAATAGAAAATATAAAACATAATGAAATGAATACAATTGTATATTGTTGTATATAATTAGTTAATACATGAACACAACCCTTTTTGATAAATGATTTTTGTTTTTTGTTGTTGTTGTTGTTGTTTTTTTTCAGGAAAAAGAAAAGAAAAGAAAAGAAAGAAAATCAATAAATGAGATCAAATTGAAAGTTTAGGTAAATTATGTTTAAAAAAAAAGAAAACATGATTAGAAATGATAATATTGATACCCAGAAATACTTTGGTATGAATAAGAGTGGGGAGAGTCAGATCTCTCTCTCTCTCTCTCGGTCTTTTTCTCACACTCGAAATGCTTTCACATGGATACGTGCATACAATGACTGACAGAGAAGTACTATTCATTGCCTTCTTGCAGAGGGGGTGTTGTTTATGAAATGGAGAGGACAAAAAGTGAATGTTTGGAGCTTTTACTGGGTTAGTGAATGCGGAGGATCCACCTAGGGAAGTTAATAAACCTTGGTTCTAAACCAGTGCTCCACATAGGCTCCAGAATCATAAGGAAACAAATGGCATATGAACTAATTATTGGTCACCGGCTACCATGGGACTGCATCTATTTAGGTTGCTCCACTGCTTTGTGGATCAGACCTTTAGGTTGAAGGCTTTGGGTGTGGCTCCCTAAAAAAACCATCTACCCTGGTTTGGGTATCCTAGTTGTGACACAAATCGAATGATTTATGTGGTGCATATCTATATGGTATCTTCTTGCACCAATGTTTATGTGTTTAAATAAAATGAAATAAATAAATGAACAATTCTGGTGGAGTTTTGTTTGCTGAACTGAATGGTTTGGTTGTGAAGTGACGTGATCAGTACAAAATTCATGTACAAGTGTAGTGTTCAAATTTCTCCACATAAGTCTGGCAGCTTGTCCTATACACCTGAATATTGATTGGTTCTTGTTGATAATGAACTTGTCATTGTTTACTTCCTTATTTTGGTTATATCTTTCATTGGTTTGATTATTATTCGTACACATGTCCATAATTTTCCTAATTGGTTGATAAATTGGATTGATTACAATGTGCTTGTTGATTACTGATTGATCTGAATGCCATGCTTCTAAAAATTTTCTGATATTGTTTTGGAATTGCCTCTATCCAAAATTTCCATATTTTTCCAGTCGAATGTATGTCCACAGTTGTCCACATGTTGATGATGTTGTTCAGAAGAACGATGAAAACTCCACGAGCAAACTATCCAGCTTAGAAAACAAAACTCCATCAAAATCATTCACCTGACCTACAAATCTTCACTATCTTAAAAATTACAATTCTGTTTTAAGTAACTGCTTGGGAAAAACGGTATAAAATAAGATATACTTTATTTAAATATTACCTAGAATATCATTGAAAACTAAGGAATTATTGGTTGGCTATTTTATTATAGTATGGAACTTCTCATTACACTACTGTCAATACCAGGAAAAGTATTTAACAGTGTTACTGAACAGGATGAACGACGCAGTAGACGCTCAACTTCGAGATCAACAAGCTGGATTCCGTAAGGACCGGTCGTGCACAGACCAAATTGTGACACTACGGATCATCGTCGAACAATCAATTGAGTGGAACTCGTCACTCTACATCAACTTCATTGATTGTGAGAAGGCATTTGACAGCGTAGGTAGGAGAACGTTATGGAAAATTCTTCGACACTACGGAGTTCCTGAGAAGATTGTCAATATTATCCGGAACTCATATGACGGACTACAGTGCAAAGTAGTGCATGGAGGACAGCTGACAGACGCATTCCAAGTAAGGACCGGAGTAAGACAAGGCTGTCTACTCTCTCCCTTCCTGTTTCTTCTGGTGGTCGACTGGATTATGAAGACCTCGACATCTGAGAGAAACTACGGCATACGATGGACAGCTCAGAACCAATTAGACGACTTGGACTTCGCAGATGACCTAGCCCTCCTATCACATACACACGAACAAATGCAGATAAAGACAGCCAGCATAGCAGTATTCTTTGCATCAGTAGGCCTCAACATACACAAAGGGAAAACCAAGGTCCTCAAATACAACACAGAGAACAGCAATCCAATCACTCTTGATGGCGAAACTCTGGAAGATGTGGAGTCCTACACATACCTGGGAAGCATCGTCGACAAACAAGGAGGTTCAGATGCAGACGTAAAGGCGAGGATTGGCAAAGCAAGGATCGCATTCCTACAATTAAAGAACATATGGAACTCAAAACAACTTTCAACCAATATCAAAGTCAGAATCTTCAATACCAATGTCAAGGCAGTTCTCCTGTACGGAGCTGAAACTTGGAGAACTACAACAACCACCATCAAGAAGGTACAGGTATTTATAAATAGTTGTCTACTCAAGGTACTCAACATCCATTGACTGGATACCATCAGCAACAGCCCTTTGTGGGAGAGAATAAACCAGCTTCCAGCGGAAGAGGAAATTAGGAAAAAACGATGGAGTTGATGGATATGACATACATTGAGGAAATCATCGAACTGCATTGCGAGGCAAGAGCTAACTTGGAATCCTGAAGGAAAGCGGAAAAGAGGAAGGCCAAATAACACATTACGTCGGGAAATAGAAGCAGACATGAAAGGGATGAATAAGAACTGGAAAGAGATGGAAAGGATTGCCCAGGACAGGGTTGGATGGAGAATGCTGGTGAGTGGCCTATGCTCCTTCACGAGGAGTAACAGGCGTAAGTAAGTAAGTAAGTAACGGAACTTCTATTTAAGATCAAGTTTTCATTTAAACTATAAAGTCTTATCATCTTTACAAATGATCCTGTACTAATTGACAAACTGACTATTTTCAAATCTCAACTTGATAAGTGATGTTATTGATGCAATAGGGATTCAGTGTATCAGTCAAACTCAATGGATAATGTTAACAACAACAACAACAACAATTAAGCTTTACTTTATTTAATTAACTAACAGTAATCTGAATTCATTTCATTAATGTTCATTCATGATTAAGCAAGTCTATTGTGCAATTTTAATTAGTAATTTTTATTTTATTTATTTATTTTAATACATAGATATTGGTACAAAGAGGCACCAAATACATATACGCCACACAAATCTCATTTGATATGTGTAAGGGCTGTGATACTGCCCGGATGACCAAACAGAAGCAGGTGGTTTTCTTAGGGGACCACATCTCGAGCCTTTAACCTGAACGTTTGATCCACAAGGCAGTGGAGCATCGTGAGGAGATGCAGTCCCATGGTAGCCGGTGACCAAGAAATTGGTTCATACGCCATTGGTTCCTTCAGGATACTGTAGCCCATGTGCACCATTGATTTGGGATCCGGTTATAGCGCCGGACATTCGCTTTTCGCCCTCTCATTTTCGTAAACAACACCCGTGGTGCGAGAAGGCAGTGAGTAGGACTTCTCTGGCAAAGGCTATATACGCATGGCTATGTGAGAGCATTTCGAGAGGGAGAGTGGACTCTTCACACTCTCGGCCGTACGAGGGCATTTGGGGGCAATTAGTAAGTTTAGTAATTTTATGATAGAACTAAGAATAACAAACATTACAGTTTATAGTATAGTATATTAAATAATTGTAGACAACTTTGAAAATGATAAACAAAGATGGATAGTGTCTAATAATGGAATGCACGAAGCACGTTTCGTCCTATTTGAGACTCATCAGCTGGATGTACCTACATGTCAGAGTTAATGTTCACTCTAGGACTTGAACCCAGTAATGAGTGAATTAATAACTTTATAAATTTTCTAAATAACAATAACATAAACATATAGCATGTATTTATTTTTGATCATTTTGTATAAAATATAATTATCAATTTAATCAATCACTTATAAATACACTTTACATTTTACCATTCATTGTATTGATTATTATATGAGTATCAACCAAAATCGTTACATTGAATGAATAGAAAGAAGTTCTTTTACCTTAGATTTAAAAATCTATTACACATGGTTGTTGAAGAATGTAAAGTTACACAATCTAAACTTTGGATCTTCAAAAAAAGGGCGGGTGTTATATCCTAGCGAGGATTAAATTACGAATAACTTCTGAGATCTATTAATGGACTAATATTATCTATATATTCTTATTGTATAACTAATCAGTAATTAGATTGTGTATATCTATATATCCCTTGTTATAAGCTTTATTTTGACCTATAGATTATTATTGTACTATTTACTGTCTTTAAGTTATGTCCAGTACATTGACTACTGTCTCCCATGTTCACAGCCACTTTTTGACCTTATTGTGTATGAATGTTATTTCCTATTTTATGCTTCGTTGCAGTTTATTTGTTTGATATATAAACCCAGTATGTTCGAAATACATGATTCGCATAGTTGAGGCTGTTGTTGACATTCTGGATTCAGTTGGGCGGGCTAGATGAGCAACGGACTAATAGGACGCTAGACTGCTCATACCGGTCGAATCTCATTGGTTTAGCACAGTGCAAAGATTCTATAAGTCGTATTTTGATTGGCAGATAAATCACATGATAACAAGCCGGACATAAATTCCTAACTGTTACCAGATGAATTTAGACTGCTTTCAACATCTTGGTTACCGGTTGCTATCATCTAAATATTTCAACAAGTTATCTAATTTTATTTATTTTAATACATCATTATGGTTATTAATCACATAACCTATTCAGGTGCGTTTGTATAAGGTGTACAACCTTTTGTTGTACAAGTTACATAAGACTTAATCAGAGATATTGTGGTTACTGTCAATATGCTCAAGCGTACAAAATGTGTTGTAGATCAAACATTTATATTAAGGTAGAATAACAAGTTCTATAGCTGTTATATCCTAGTAAAGATTAAATTACGAGTAACTTCTGAGATCTATTAATGGATTAATATGATCTATATATTCTTATGGTATAACTATTCAGTAATTACTTACTTACTTACTTACGCCTGTTACTCCCAATGGAGCATAGGCCGCTAACCAGAAAAAATTATTCAGTAATTGGATTGTGTGTATTCATATTCCTCTTATTATAGACTTCATTTTGATCTCATAGACTATTATGATACAATTTACTGTTCTTAAGTTATGTTCAGTTTATTGATTACCGTCTTCTACGTCCACAATCACGTTTTGGCTTTATTTTATATAAATGTTATTTCCTATTTGATGATATGATGCCGTTTGTTTAGTTGGTATATAAACTCAGTATATGTGAAATAAATGATTCACATAGTGAAGGCTGTTGAACGGGCTAATTGAGCAATGAATCAATAGGAAGCTAGGCTGATCAAACCGGTTGGATGTCGTTGGTTTAGTACAGTATAAGAGCGAATAAGTCGTATTTTGATTAGCAAGTAGATCACATGATAACTAGCTGGCTATAAAGTCAAAACAAAGATGACCTCTCAAAATGTAATCATCATCAGTAGGTTTAAACATATAAACGAAAAAAAAAAGTCAACTAATCAAGAAGATTTCATGAAATCATTCATCTGTATGATGTTTCCAGGAAATGTATCTATTAAATGTCCAATAGTGTATTTTCATTTTCAACTTGAACTGGTTGCTAGGGTTTTTTTTATGATTTCATAATATAAAGATTAATTCATTATATCCTAGTGTTTCAATTCTCCCTCTTATTATATATGTCATATATAATAAGAGGGAGAATTGACATGCCCCCAAATGCCCTGGTACGGCCGAGAGTGGGGAGAGTCCGCTCTCCCTCTCCAAATGCTCTCACATGGCCACGCGTATATAGCCTCTGCCAGGGAAGTCCTACTCACTGCCTTCTCGTGGCGGGGGTGTTGTTTACGAAAATGAGAGGACGAAAAGCGAATGTCTGGCGCTTTAACCGGATCCCAAATCAATGGTGAACATGGGCTCCAGTATCCTGTGGGAACAAATGGCGTATGAACCAATCGTTGGTCACCGGCTACCATGGGACTGCATCTCCTCACGATGCTCCACTGCCTTGTGGATCAGATCTTCAGGTCAAAGGCTCGGGGTGTGGCCCCCTAAGAAAACCACCTGCTTCGGTTCGGGCACCCGAGCAATATCACAGCCCTCACACAAATCAATTGAGATTTGAGTGGCGCATATGTATTTGGTGCCTCCTTGTTCCAATACCTATGTGTTAAAATAATAAATAATAAATTATATGACATAACTATTAATTACAACGAGACTATCACTTATGGACGAATCAGTGAGATATAAGATATCGATAGAATAATGAGAAGACGAAGTTGATTTGAACAATATAGCAAATAGATCACATTTTTCAGATCAAATCCATCTTTACATTGTTCTATCGAAATTTATAAAAAAAAGGATTAATTGCTTTAGATATAAGATTATAGGTTTAGGGTTTTAGCATGAAATTCATCTATCCATTTAGCTAAACAGTGTTTTGACAATTTAACTAATGTTAAGTCATGATGAAAATCATACATTTAATTCCTAACCATAACCATCAATTGTAAATCTTTATTCTAGTGTACATCCTTATGATCATTTTGGTGTCTGTCAAAGATCATTCATCAATTATAATCTCACTTTAATTGTTTCACTTATCAAATGATTAAGCTTAACACATATTATTCATAGTTATAATTAATGTTTACTGAACTATCTTCAGTCAGTCAGTCAGCTGCAACGTAGGACCAGGCACGTATATGCATCGGTCCAAGTTGCCATACCGCATTAGCACAACAAGATGATCTAATTAAGTAAACTCACTTACGTGGTTGTCTGACTTTATCTGAATTGATTTTCCAGTACTTTCTTTGTCTGAAACATTTTAGTTAATCTACTTTTTTTTTAACTTTGTTATTTTACATCATATTCTAGCTTAAATAACTATTGAAAAGTCGAAAATGTTGAACAACGGTACTAGTTTAGAGTGAAACTCTTTAGTAGTTCAACTAAGAGCCAACAGTTTAAGATCTCTAAGTAAGAGCTTGCATATATATGTATGCATTTAGCGTCACGAGGCAAGCCCTAACTTGAAATCCTGAATAAAAGAGGACGTTTAAATTCACTTGATATTGTTTACTTGAATCTTTCTATTGATGTTTAGGACTGGAATTAATTTGTCTCTTATCGGCATATGTGCATACTGTGTGTATTGATTCGATATTGACTTAATTTACAAGCATTATAAGCAAAGATGGATAGTGGCTAGCAGTAAAATCCAGTTTTACACGCGTTTCGTCCTATTTAGGACAGGTTAGCTGGATATACCGGCATCTCAGAGTTGATGTTCACTTCAGGACTAGAACCCAGTACCATTCGCTTCAAACGCCAACATTCAGTGAAACAATACAAAATGTATTAAAACTTCACCTGATTGCAAAATCAAATGGTTATCAGGACTGAGTAGCTAAGTGGATAACGTGATGGTGTTTGAAGTGAATGATATTGGGTTCGAGTCCGAGAGTGAACATCAACTCTGAGATACAGGTAAATCAGGCTGACAAGCCTCAGATAGGACAAAATGCGCATCCTGGATTGTACTATAAGCCGCCATCTATCTTTGTTTATAATACTTGTGAATTAACGCATTACGCACAGTATGCACATATGCCAATAACAGACTGATCAATTGCAGTCCTAAATCTCAATGGGAAGATTCAAGTAAAACAATACCAAGTGAATTTGATTTCAATAGTTGAGACCATGGATTAATTAAAGCTAGAACATCATGGGAAACCTGGAAACATTGTTTCGTCCTATTATGTGACTTCACCTCCCTACCTCGTGAGATTCCCATCTAGGACTTACCAGTCTCACGGGCGAACGCTTAACCACAAGACCACTGAGCTGGCCGGAATCTAACAGTGTTCATGTCTAACTTCAACTAATCCATAAAATTCATCAATTTAAGAAAGATCATAGAATACAATGAAAATGTATAAATTTGTTAAAAAATATTAAAAAAATAATCTATATTGACTTACTCTTGCATAAACTAAATAACCAATTGTACAAGAGAACGGTATATTAACACCCAGTTTTCTATAATCCATATATGATTCAGCTCCACAACATTGAAACTATCAGCAACAACAACAACAAAAAAGTAAGAAAAAGAAAAGAAGAACATTAAACAAAATGAATATATGTATATATATATATATATATATATATATATATATATATATATATATATATATATATATATACAAAGAAATTGATGAAGTAGTGAAACTTAATCAGTTGAGATGGCTTGGACATGTGTTATGTGTGCCCAACCACCGACTGCCACGACGTGCGATGTTTTCTGGTGTAGGAGAAGTTGGAAGAAAGATAGGGGCGGTCAGACCAAAACATGGGACAAGTCCATGAAGTCACTGACAAGTGAACTGAGCCATGTTGGTAGGTGTAGACTAACTGGTTGGGATCTGCGAGATGATAGCAAACGATGGTTAGAGACTTTGAATGACATAGCTGAAAATCGTTTGCAATGGTGCAGGTGCATTCACTCTTTGTGTTCTTTCAAACTCTAATCTTCTGTATTCTTCATGTCCTTTATTTTCTTTCCAAATCTATTCCACTGGACTATACTTCTTAAATAACATCATCAAATCCTACTGTTCCCTATCACTACCTTTACCACTATGGGATTTAAATCGATAACTGAATCTCTGTGCTAATGTGGTATGGCAACTTGAACTGATGTACGTAGGTACGTACAAGGTTCCACGTCGTTACTGACTGACTGACTGATACAAAGAAATAACATTATAATAATGTAAATTAATAGATGAAATTTATCATTACTTCACTTTGTAAATTATCCATTTCTATTTCATATTGAGGTTTTTCATAATAGAATTTCACAGTATCTAATAATGCATTATGAGTCGTTGTATAGAACTATAGAAATAAAAGAAAAAAATAATAAACAAACAAATAAACAATCAATATATTATTCTTATATTCTAGAATACAATATATTGAATTCTAATAAAACTAACTTGATCATACATCACAGCTGATGTTGTTGCTATGCCAATTTCACTAAGTGTTACAATACACAAACTAATAATATGCTAAATAGAAAAAAATTTTTAAAAAAAAGAAAAGAAAAGAAAAGAGAATTCAATTTGACATGAATACAATTTTTAAAAAAATTGTATAAAAAATTATTAAAGACGAAACTTTGTGTTATAACTTATGGCCTGAGTACCTTATTAATCGATAATGTCATGATACTGCCGATTAGAGAATAGTGAATTATCTATCGGGCCAATGATGCATAAACCTGTACGAGTAGTCTACAGTCCTGATTGGTCTTTCTTTCTGTCTAGCCCAACCAGTTAAGTCCAGAACATTAATCTCAACCTCTGTGATATGAATCAAGTATTTTAAACATACTGGGTTTATGTGCCAACCAGACAGACCACATTGTACCTTGCCTGTTGAGTATGGAACACCAATATCAGAATCTGTGATATAAATCATGTATTTCAAACATACTCGGTTTATATACCAATCAAACAGACCACATCGTACCATAAAATAGAATATAACATTTGTACAAGATTTGACCGAATGTGGTTGTGAATGTGGGAGGTAGTGACTAATAGTCTGGGCATAATTCAAGAATGGTTAATCGTACAATAATAGTTCATAGATCAAAATAAAGCTTATAATAAGAGGAATATGAATAGGAACAGTTTATTAATACGATAAAAATATACGTTTAGTATTGATCCATAAATGGATCCCAAAGTTACTATTCATTATTCTCATCGGGACCTAACACTGGCTCTTCGTAAATTTACCCCCCTCTCCTTCATGTGTACAAAAACAATTTATCGTAACTTTGAATTTACCAAAGTAATCCTTAAGTCATTCTATGGCCTTAGATATTGCGATAATTTCTTATTCTTTTTATACGATATTAAAAAACTGTTTGTTTCTGCTTTGTTACCTTTTTTACTTGAACATTCAATCAATTTTCATATAAAATGCCTTGACAAGTGTATATGTGTGACCAGATTATTCAAAATTTATAGCGTCAATACATCACATTTTTTGATCGAGATGATGAACCAATTGATGTTAGACCACTATTAAAGACGTGGAAGCAATGGATGACCGTTTCGCCCTATTGTGGGACTCCACAGCATTTCGCATTCGCAATCCCATCCACCGCGAGATTCGAACTCAGGGCTTTCAGTCTCAAACTCGAACGCTTAACCTACTGGATCACTAAACTGACATCCAATGGTGTTAGTGTCTAACCTCAATCAATCCAAGAAATTGTGCAACCATCTTCCATCGTACTGAGGTAGATACCTGTCTCTACCCGACACGGATTATCTCCACTGGTGACGACTTCTCATTAGAACTCCTAGAATTCCCTCACGAATCTAGTCACAAATGAGCACATGTTAATTATCAGCATAGGGGTTGTGGAGATTACCAAGTGTTTGATTGAGGATAAAAACGGTTGTCTAATGCTTCCAGGTTTCCAACCATGGTCTAACATCAATCGATTCATGATCTCAATCAAAAACTTAATAATCTCTACAACCCTTATTCTAACATCTTTTCATTGTTCCATAGAAAATTTTTTAAAAGGCACCAAATGCTTTAGAGAATTTAATACCAAAAAAAAAAAAAAAGAATCATTGAATAATACATACCATTAAAGCAATTAAATTCATTGGTTTCCATAATCCAATATATCCAATAAATGCAGCTATAATACCAAAACATCCAGTAAATAGAACCGTTGAAATGATAACTGATATTGGTGTATATAAAATTGTTGTATATTTTGATAATGTATTATATGTTATTATACCTAATAGAAGTAGAATCATGTTATATATCTTTTGTTGGTTTTATTTTTTAATGAATAAAATTATACTACTTACAACAAATAAAGTATTTAATGTAATAAATATTTTCTGCCAAAATTCTCTGGATAATGAAACACACATCATTTGCTTAATTCTAAGAAAGAAAAAAAAAGAAAAAAAAATTTAATCACTGGGTAAATCATGATCATAAAGCAATTAGTCTCTTTTATAAATTTTGATAGAACAATGAGATCAGATCAACTCCATCTTTTCATTGTTCTATTGTAAAACATGATTGTAATGAAAAAGAAATTATACTGAATCAAAATATTAATCAAATAGATTATTGCATTGATAGGTATAACATCTTCGACAATTTTGATGGAAATTTTTTTTCTTTGAGCTGGATGGTTTGATCGTGGAGATTTCATCATTCTACTGAATAACATCATCGGTATAGACTTCAGATAGAAGTGAAGTGTTCGGATTTCACCACATGTGGTTTACAACTTGTTCTGTACACCTCGATGTTGATTGATTCTTGTTGATTTTAAATTTGTCATCTTCGACAATCAATTTACCTTTACTGTTGAGAAATTGGATAAAACTATATCTTTACATAGATAAAATATGTCGTTAGATAGTGTAGAATACAATTAATATATATAGACAAATATATTTGTGTTTTAATGAAATCAGTAATATATTCATCATCATCATCATCATCATCATCATCATCATCATCATCATCATCATCATCATCATCATCATCATCATCATCATCATCATCATCATCATCATCATCATCATCATCATCATCATCATCATCATCATCATCATCATCATCATCATCATCATCATCATCATCATCATCATCATCATCATCATCCAAAGCATCATCATCATCATCATCATCATCATAATCATCATCATCATCATCCGAAGCATCATCATCATCATCCAAAGCATCATCAACATTATCCGAAGCATCATCATCATCATCATCCGAAGCATCATCATCATCATCATCCGAAGCATCATCATCATCATCATCATTATCCAAAGCATCCAAAGCATCATCAACATTATCCGAAGCATCATTACCATCATCTGAATCATCGAAAGCATCATCATCATGAAATATGTACTTACCATGTACAATTGTAATTTATTGTAAACGTAAGAAATATTGGTTGATACCTTTTTATGTAGCATTTATAAGTGTTGTTGTTACAAAATCGATATTAATGATGATTGATTGTTGAGAAAAACCCAACCAGGAATGAAAAACGTTACATAAATACACACCCATTTAAATATGATTTATTTTAAATAATGATGTAATGATACATGTATACATGTTTAAGTAGAATATGAAATGGAAACATAATTAGTATTGTAATTGATATCAGATATTTATTTATTGTACTTGAGTTATTCAATAGTTCTGTGATTGAAATGAAAACTTACTTACTTTACTTACTTACGCCTGTCACTCCTCGTGAAGGAGCATAGGCCACTCACCAGCATTCTCCATCCAACCCTGTCCTGGGCAATCCTTTCAAGCTCTTTCCAGTTCTTATTCATCTTTTTCATACCTCCTTCTATTTCCCGACGTAATGTGTTATTTAGCCTTCCTCTTTTCCGCTTCCCTTCAGGATTCCAAGTTAGCGCTTGTCTCGTAATGCAGTTTGATGATTTCTTCAATGTGTGTCATATCCATCAACTCCATCGTTTTTTCCTAATTTCCTCTTCCGCTGGAAGCTGGTTGGTTCTCTCCCACAAAAGGCTGTTGCTGATGGTATCCGGCCAATGGATGTTGAGTATCATGCGTAGACAGCTATTAATAAATACCTGTACCTTCTTGATGGTGGTTGTTGTAGTTCTCCAAGTCTCAGCTCCGTACAGTAGAACTGCCTTGACGTTCGTATTGGAATGAAAACTAATGAAGTGTATATTTACTTACCCAATTACTTATTTAATTCTGTTACCACTCGTAAAGAAACATAAGCTGACCACCACTACCATCACCACAATTCTCTAACCAACTTTGTCTTCCATTCTCTTTTATAACTGTTCTCAAATGTTATTTATCCTTTTGATAGCTGCCTCTAATTCCCTACTCAATCTATTCTTTGCTTTACTTCTTTTTCCTCTGACTTTCAGATTACCAAGTAAAGGATTATCTTATGATACAGTTTGATAATTTCTTGAATGTGTATTCTATCGACTTTCAATGCCTTTTCTCAATTTCCTGTTTAGTTGTCAATTTGTTTATTCTATAGTATAGTAGATTATTGTTGATTGTATCTGGTTAACGTATATTGAGTATTCTGCATAAAGAATTATTTATAAATAGTTGTAGATGTTTGATGACGATTTTAGTAGTTCTCCGAATTTCAGCTCCATACAGTAGAATTGTCTTGACGTTTGTATTGAAAATCGTTATACTGCGTGATGTCTGAGATCTAATACTGATGCCTAAAATGCTATGGGCTCACCATTCAAATTAATTGTTTGAGCAAGAAGAAGAGAGTGAAATAAAAAGTCTATTGGGCTACCAAACAATATGCATAAATACTCATGTGTGTAATATACATATCTATCCGTTAGAAAATAATATACAATTGTCCTTCAGATCATTTCTAATTATCTTGCCTTTCACCATAAGGCGTCATAATTCTTCTCTCAACTCAGAGGATAGAATTTAAATGGTTAAATTTATTTAGTCTAGTTAGCATTTCTGTTTATTTTTCCAAGATTGTTTTCTACAAGGATGGGTTTGTTGAACCTATTTCTAACTCTCTCCTTTATTAAGGTTTGGAATTGACAGTTTCTGTATTAACATGGAATATAAAATTCCATCAAAATTCAATATACAACAATCATTTAGTGAATAGTTAAGTTGATTATACTTATATTACTCTTAGGTACTATGGATTACTGAAAATCTATTTTGTTTTATGATATAGAGTGTTAGACTGATGTTACGGATAACAGAAGATAATATGCATATACTATTGGAAAGTCATAAAAAATAAAAATGGTATCAAGTGGATACTTAGTTAAATGGTCCAAAGGTACCTCTATGGTGTGGGTTACTTATATCCACATAAGTAGTATATAACAATGGTCAGGTATAGAATGTATTTCAGTAGAAGATCGATAAGGAAAGAACGGAAACGGAATACATTTGGTATGATTGTTCCGACTTATGTTCTTATTCATTACACCTCTGTCATCCTAATGATAGAATAACAGACAATTCGGTTAGCCTGGAATTTCGTTGGTTATAGTTCATAACTATGTAATTGTCGTCTGTTTGCTTTGAATGTTTTCTCATCTTACCTGTTCTTTCACACTACAGTGACTTGTCAATACTGGTTAATAGGAATTGGTTATTTTTAATTCTATTTGAAAGAAAATGTGTAATTATTCTAGATGAACATTTATCTACAAAGATTTATGTTCGTATCATTAATTAAAGTATAGCATAATCATGAGAAATGTATTAAATAATACGCAAAGATGGATAGTGGCTAGCAGTGGAATCCAGGATGCGAGTTTCGTCCTATCTGGGACTCGTCAGCTGGATATACCTGCATCTCAGAATTGATGTTCACTCGAGGACTCAAACGCAGTACCTTCCTTTCCATACTCTGTCGCGTTATCCATATAGCTACTGAGTCCCAGAGTGAACATCAACTCTGAGAGGCAGATACATCCAGGTGAATTGTTTCAAATAGAACAAAACGCGCGTTGTGAATTCAACTGTTAGCGATTATCTGTCTTTTCTTAGAATGCTTGTGAATTAGGACAATATTGAGTCAATACACACAATATGCACATATGCCAATAAAAGATTAATCAATTACAGTCCTAAATATCAATGGGAAGATTCAAGTAAACAATACCAAGTGAATTAAACTTTACCTCATTGCACAAGCAAGTGAATATCAGGACTCAGTAGCTAAATGGATAACGCGATAACGTTTGAAGTGAATGAACGGTACTGGCTTCAAATTTCAGATTGAACATCAACTCTAAGATACAAGTACATCCAGCAGACGTGTGTCAAATAGGAAAAAACGAGCATGCTAAATAACACTACTAGCCACTATCCATCTTTTCTTAGAATACTTGTGAATTATGACAATATCAAATCAATATACACAATATGTACATATGTCAATAAAAGACTGATCAATTATAATCCTAAACATCAATAAGAAGAATCAAATAAATAACAATACTAACCGAATATTAAACAATATGTTAATATTATAAACAAAGATGAATAAATAGTGGCTAGCAGTGAAATCTAATTTGACACGCGTTTCGTCCTATCTGGGACTCATCAGCTGGATGTACATGCATCTTATTTTTATTTATTTATTTATTTTAACACATAAGTATAGGTACAGGGAAGCACCAAGTACATATGCGCCACACAAATCTCAATTGATTTGTATGAGGGCTGTGATACTGCTCGGGTGCCCAAACCGAAGCAGGTGGTTTTCTTAGGGGGCCACACCCCGAGCCTTCGACCTGAACGTCTGACCCATAAGGCAGTGGAGCATCGTGAGGAGATGTAGTCCCATGGTAACCGGTGACCAACGATTGGTTCATACGCCATTTGTTCCTTCAGGATACCGGAGCCAGCCCATGTGCACCATTGGTTTGGGGTCCGGTTAGAGCAATTAATTTAAGTAAACAATTATTTATATGATAAAATAGAAAAAATAATAATAAAAGAAAAACAATATATGTTTTATTCTTATCATTAATTTTATTGATTATATAATAATAACCCAAGAATAATAAATAACAATATCCATGGCAGTATAGATCGTCCAATATGATAATATGACATTATTTTAATCAATAATGATCTAATTTATATTGATGACATGATTGTTTATTATTATTATTGTTGTTGTATGAAGTAAACAATTAAAAAAAGAAAAGAAAAGAAAAAGAAAAGAAAAAAGAAAATCACTGAAGTTTATCATGTTCATTTAAATAATAATAATAATGATAATAATAATAATAATAATTAATGTATGATGATCAGTTTATAGTCCATTAAGAGTAATAGACGTAAATAAATAAATAAATAAATAAGATTTATGGGGATGTATTTTTTGCATTCATTGAATTTTTAAATAAACAAATAGAGATCACTACATAAATTGCTTTAATAATTCCAAATACAAAACACATAGTAATTAATGCAATAATATAATGTTGAGCATAATCATTGAATGCTTCTACACAACCCTGATAATATTTTACCAAAAAAAAAGAAAAAAAAGAAAAAAAAAGAAAAGAAAATGAGAAAAAAGAAAATAATGAGTTATGTACATATATATAATTTCAATGATTAAGATCATGAGTCAATTGAAGCTTCGCGCGCGAGCACTTAACCACTAGACCACTGAGCCGGCATCCAACGGTGTTAATGTCTAACACTAGTGACTGGCTTCAAGAGGTATATCCTGGAGTTCTAGTGAGAAGTAATGACCAGTGGAGTTCAACCAGGTCTGTTGTGGGATAGTAACTCACTGAAGACAATGGTGGTTGTGTCGCTCAATTTCGTGGATTAGTTGAAGTTAAACATTAACACCGTTGGATGCCTGCTGGCTCAGTGGTCTAGTAGTTAAGTGCTAGCGCGCGAAACCAGTAGGTCCTGAGTTCGAATCTCGCAGGGGCCGAAGTCATGAATGCACGCTGCCGAGGAGTTCCATAATAGGACGAAACGGCCGTCCAGTGTTCCCAGGTTTTCCATGGTGGTCTAGCTTCAACTGACTCATGATCTTAATCATTGAAATTACTACAATCTCCCCAAATTCTTCTGATATATATAATTGTAAATCAATATTGAAATATTAAACAAGTTTATAATCTGTTACTAATGAATGGTGATACAAATAGTCTCATATTGAAAAAACGAGATATAAATGAGCTAAAAAAGAAAAAAACCGGACATTTTATACAACTGAACTATGTTATTATTGAAAAGATATGGTCTATATTTTACTAAAAGTCTAAACAACACGTAAATGATTGTGTCTATTAATTGACAGATATGTACGGAAAACATGTACATAAGGCGAAGCAATCATAATTTGCAATTAAGGTTAAGTGAATTACATTTCGAAATGACTGTAGAAACAAATGAATTTTAATGATTCAATGAGAACACAGGATAGATGGCCCCCAAATGCCCTGGTACGGCCGAAAGTGGGGAAAGACCGCTCTCCCTCTCGAAATGCTCTCACATGGCCATGCGTATATAGCCTCTGCCAGGGAAGTCCTACTCACTGCCTTCTCGTGGCACTACTTTTGTTTACGAAAATGAGAGGACGAAAAGCGAATGTCTGGCGCTTTAACCGGACCCCAAATCAATGGTGCACATGGGCTGGCTCCAGTATCCTGAAGGAACAAATGGCGTATGAACCAATCGTTGGTCACCGGCTACCATGGGACTACATCTCCTTATGATGCTCCACTGCCTTGTGGGTCAGACGTTCAGGTCGAAGGCTCGGGGTGTGGCCCCCTAAGAAAACCATCTGCTTCAGTTTGGGCACCCAGGCAGTATCACAGCCCTTACACAAATCAATTGAGATTTGTGTGGCGCATATGTATTTGGTGCCTCCCTGTACCTATACTTGTGTTAAAATAAATAAAAATAAACAGGATCGATAAATATTATTCTTCATTGTGAAATATTTGATTAAAACTAATCATATAAGATTGATATCAAGTTAGCATTTGTAGTGTTGTACAAAAGACTTCAAAGATGTATACTAAGATTTATTGAAGCTTTAGCTATACAGAAACTAAAATCCCCTTATTAGAGTTCAAAAACAATTTGTTCTTATCTTTAACCTACTCTGGTAATACTCATTTATTATTTCGAGTAGTTATCCTATTATTTTTGTGTACTTTGTTTTTTTTCCTTTGTTACGGCTTACCTTTAACCTGTCTAGTTGATATTTTAATTTTCATATAAAAAATTCAATAGTTGAAATCATGAAACAATTGAAGCTAAACCACTGCACGTGAGAATGATAGGTCCTGGGTTTGAATCTCACCGGGGGGAGGTGAGGTCATGGATGCGCACTGCTGAGGAGTCCCATTCAGTGTTTCCAGGTTTTCCATGGTGATCTAACTTCAATTAACTCATGATCTTAACTATTGAAATGTATGGCATGCAAGCTATGACGTTTCGTTGACTTAAACCATAAAAACAATAATAGTTCTGTTACCAATAGTGATAATAATAATAATAATAATAGTCTTGTGATTTGAATAGTTAGTGAATGAATTATGAAAGATATCATAACAACTAATTCATGTGAATTGTAAAACATGAGTCATACTAATAAATGTTTACACTAAATGATTTTCATGCATTTAGTTACAACTTGATGAATAGAAATTTGTTTCTATTTATACACATAGTTCCCTTTATTATTATTTGAAAGAGACAAAGAACAAAGGTTGGTGCAGAATAATATGAGTTCATTTTATGACGTTAGATACTCATCACCTGCTTGACAACCTCTAATATTCTCAAATCAAAGTTATTACAGACATTGACATACTTATACATCAGAGGGTGATAAAGGATGAATATAAGTAACATGATGTAGCAAAGATTTCGTTAGAGTGAATGAGGTGATAAAATTTTTTCGCTTTCATGTTACCACCAACTATGTATACAAATTTATATGTATCTGCCAAAGCAGTTACTTTCGTAGAACAAAAAGTAGAGTCTACGTCCGATTCATAGAACATATTCCGAAAAGTTTAAGATCAAACGGATTAAAAGTATTCAAAAGTGTCATCACAAGACATCTCCTTGACACAGAACATGAAGTTGATATACTGAAATCCTTCAAGTTGATTAACAAAAAATCAAACTCAAATCTTTTGAAATTTGCCGAAGTGATAGGAATCAAATATCTGAAACCAGATCTATGTATCCAAAAACAAAGTGTAATAAATTTTTCTTTACCCTGATAACATTACCCCCCCCTCCTTTTTTTATTTATTACGTCATTCATTATTTCAACTCTTTCTGAAGTTTCCCTCCCAAACTCTATATATTCGAAACAAAAAATTTTATGACCTCATTCACTCTAACGTAATCTTTGCTACATCATTGTTACTTATATTCATCCTTCATCAACCTCTGATGTATAAGTATGTCGATATCTGTAATAACTTTGATATAAGAATATTACAGGTTGTCAAGCAACTGATGAGAACCGAACAAAATAAAATGAATCTATTTATTATTCTGCACCAACCTTTATTGCCTGACACAGTCGTTCGAAGTAAAGACCGGTGTCAGGCAAGGTTGCTTACTCTCACCCTTTCTCTTTCTCCTGGTGATCGACTGGATCATGAAGACATCAACATCTGAAGGGAAGCACGGGATACAGTGGATAGCTAGGATGCAGCTGAACGATCTAGACTTCGCAAATGATCTGGCTCTTCTATCGCATACGCAACAACAAATGCAGGAGAAGACAACCAGTGTAGCTGCAGCCTCAGCAGCAATAGGTCTCAATATACACAAAGGGAAAAGCAAGATTCTTCGATACAACACAGCATGTACCAATCCAATCACAATTGACGGAGAAGCTTTGGAAGATGTAAAAACCTTTACATATTTGGGCAGTATCATCGATGAACACGGTGTATCTGATGCAGATGTGAAGGCACGGATTGGCAAAGCAAGAGCAGCATATTTACAACTGAAGAATATCTGGGACTCAAAACAATTAGCAACCAACACCAAAGTCAGAATTTTCAATACAAATGTCAAAACAGTTCTACTGTATGGAGCGGAAACCTGGAAAACTACGAAATCCATCGTCCAAAAGTTACAGGTGTTTATTAACAGTTGTCTACGCAAAATACTTCGGATCCGTTGGCCGGACACTATAAGCAACAACCTACTGTGGGAGAGAACAAATCAGATCCCAGTGGAGGAAGAAATCAGGAAGAAACGCTGGAAGTGGATAGGACACACATTGAGGAAAGCACCGAACTGCGTCACAAGACATGCCCTCATATGGAATCCTCAAGGTCGAAGGAGGAGAGGAAGACCAAAGAATACATTACGCCGAGAAATGGAGATAGATATGAGAAAAATGAACAAGAATTGGATGGAACTAGAAAAGAAGTCAGAGTGGGACAGAGTGGGTTGGAGAATGCTGGTCGGCGGCCTATGCTCCATTGGGAGTAACAGGCGTAAGTAAGTAAGTAAGTACCAACCTTTATTCTTGCTCGTTTCTATGTAATTTAAGTTAATTGATGAATCGAAATCAATATAATCTCCCCTTAGATATTTGATTGAATTGTCATTAAACTATTATTTCTCTTATTCTATTTGATCCATATTTATTCAGATCATAGATCATAACATTTTCATTTAACATATAAACTGAGTTATATCAATATGAAAAACTGTATTGTATTTTGTTTAACAATCCTATAGTTGATATACATTCATTTTAAACGATGTATTGGACCCTTGACCTGACCAATTTTTAGATTATTAATTTGCATATATATATGAATTGTAGAATTGATCGTAAAGAATATCCTTTATTCAATATAATAATCGTTGAATATGATGAAGATCTTTAAACGATTATAAGATCTCACTTAAAATGTCGTTTGTGTATGTTTCTATAGTATGTCTTAATCTGATTATGTGTACATGAATGAGTAGACATTCCTTATGGTGACAGTTATTGTAAACTAACTGATTAACTATTAAATACATTATAACATCCTTTGCATGATTAAAATTATCTAAAACTAATCAAGGAATATATTTTCATTATTCATTATATCCCGATACAGTCCCCCCCAGCTTAGTGGTCTAATAGTTAAGCGCTCGTGCACGAGACCGATAGGTCCTGCGTTCAAATCTCGCTGGGGGTGATATCGTGGATGGGCACAGTTGAGTAGTCTCATGCTAAGACGAAACGGTTGTCTATTGCTTCCAGGTTTTCCATGGTGATGTAGCTGCAATTGACTCATGATTTCAACTAGTGAAATGTCAAAAAAAATCTCCACGAAACCCCTTCTTAAGTTATTTAGGGTGAACATAACGCAATCGAATGATCATTAAGTAAATATTATAACCCGATGAGAATAATGAATAGTAAATTTTGGGATCTATTTTTGAACTGATACTATACGTAACTAAGCTAAACATATTGGTGTTCTTCCTATCATAAGCTTTATTTCGCTGTAGAAACTATTATTATACGATTTACTATTCTTGAGTTATGCCCTGTCTATTATTTACTACCTCCTACATTCACAGCAACATTTGGCAAAATCTTGTACAAATGTTGTTTTCATATTTTATGGTACGATGTGGTCTGTCTAGTTGGTATATAAATTCAGCATGCTTGAAATACATGATTTATATAACAGAGGTATAGATTGGTGTTCCGTACTCAATAGGCTGAACTAGTTGGGAAGAACAACCAGATGAAGACTGTAGACTGCTCGTACTGGTTTTATACGTCATTGGTTCGGTGGATGATTCACTGTTCTATAATTAACGGTATCATTACATTATAGATTAATAAAACATAAAGCTACTAGTTATAAATTTTCCACAAAATGCATTTAAAAGAGTATACATTATTCAAATGTCGAATGACTAGACTGCTAACTTATAACTGGAGAACACTCAATATGTTAACATCAGAATTAATCAAGTAATACGAAACAGAAACTTATTGAAATATTTTATTTCAATAATTGAGATCATAAGTCAATTAGAGCTTAATGACGATGAAAAACCTCAAAACACTGAACAACTATTTCGTTCTATTGTGAGACTCCTCAGCAGTGTGTATCCATGATCAACGCACCTCACGGGATTTCAACTCATGATTTATCAATCTTTCAGATCACTAATAATTCTATATTAGATAAAGCCCACTAATAATAATAATAATAATAATAATAATAATAATAATAATAATAATAATAATAATAATATACATAATGTATTTCTCTTAACTGAATAATAAGAACTATATGGTAATCTCATTGATTAAGATCATGAGTCAGTTGAAGCTAGACCACCATGGAAAACCTGGAAGCACTGGACGGCCGTTTCGTCCTATTATGGAACTCCTCAGCAGTGCGCATCCACGACCTCGCCCCCTTCTGATAATAATCAACATATGCTCATTAGTGACTGGCTTCAAGAGGTATATCCTGGAGTTCTAGTGAGAAGTAATGACCAGTGGAGTTCAAACCAGGTCTGTTGTGGGATAGAAACTCACTGAAGACAATGGTGGTTGTGTCGCTCAATTTCGTGGATTAGTTGAAGTTAAACATTAACACCGTTGGATGCCTGCCGGCTCAGTGGTCTAGTGGTTAAGTGCTCGCGCGCGAAGCCAGTAGGTCCTGGGTTCGAATCTGACAGGGGGCGAGGTCGTGGATGCGCACTGCTGAGGAGCCCCACAATTGGGAGAAACAGCCGTCCAGTGCTTCCAGGTTTTCCATAGTGGTCTAGCTTCAACTGACTCATGATCTTAATCATTGAAATTACTACAATCTCCACAAAACCCCTTCTGATATATGGTAATGATTATAGAAAATAGAATAGAACATAATACAATAATGAAACTCTAATGTATTCACTATTAAAATGATTATGATACTATAAAGATATAAATCATTATTATAAAATTATTTATCACTTACTGTTGCATAAACTAATGTACCAATAAAACATGAGAATGGTACAGTTTTATTTGATTTAACATAATCCAAATAAGATGTAGCTCCACAACATTTGAACTATAAAATATAAATGAAATATATACATATTTATATATAATATTATTAAAATTCAATATTTGTAATGAAGTTTTGTTCTTTGAGCTTGATGGTTTCGTGATGGAATATTCATCAGTCTTCTTTTGATGACTGACATTATTATCCGTATACATTTTACATAGCAATGAATTATTGATATTTCTTGAAAGCAATTAGTCCCTTTTTATAAATTTCGATAGAATAATGAGAAGACGGAGTTGATCTGATCTGAAAAATGTGATGTATTTTTGTGCTATACATTTCAAACAATCTGGTCACACACATATACTTGTCAGGGTATTTTTATATGAAAATGAATAAAGGTCAATAAGAAATTGTCGCATTATCCTAGGCCATAGAATGACTCAAGGATTACCAAGGTAAATTCAAGGTTACGACAAATTGTTTTTGTATACATAAGGGGGGGTTTAAATTTACGAATAGCCAATGTTTCAATCAATCTGAGAATTAGACCTTGATAAGTTCTATACAACGTTTTAAAATCTGTATTAATGTCAATTTTGTACCCGGTTTCAATTATGTGGTTCACTATCGATGAACCTGGTTTTCTACCACCCACATTGATCAGATCGTTTGACACACATTGTATTTGAAACATATAATTGAAACGAGGCACAAAATTGATATTAATACAGCTTTTAAGAAGTTGTATAGAAATTGTCAAGGATGAATTCTCAGGTTTATAGAAGCCTTGGCTATTCGTAAATTTCCCCCCCCCTTTATGTGTACAAAAACAATTTATCGTAACCTTGAATTTACCTTGGTAATCCTTGAGTCATTCTATGGCCTAGGATAATGCGACAATTTCTTATCCTTTCTCTCCTCTTTGTTAATTTTGTTTGTACTTTAACTTTCATGTAATTGACCTTTATTCATTTTTATATAAAAATGCCCTGACAAGTATATGTGTGTGACCAGATTGTTTGAAATGTATAGCGCACAAAAATACATCACATTTTCATTTCAGATCAATTCCGTCTTCTTATTGTTCTATCATATTTCTTTATCTATGTCATACAAAGAATTATTCTTATAAATCTTGAAAAATTATCATTGTTTCTATGTTGTTTGATATTATTCAGATAAATCATCATAGTTACATAATGAAACCATTAAGCTTAATAAACAAAACTTTTCATTAAAATCATTTCATTCAATGATAAATCTTTTCTAATATCATTTTTATGCATAACTTACTTTATTTTGTAATTTATCCATTTCTACTTGAATATTAGGAATTGTATAAAATTGTTTTACAGCTTGTAAAACTGAATTATTTGCAACTGTTTGAAACTATGACAACAACAATATGATAATAATAATCAAATATTAAACTAACTTTATCTCCTGAAGTACATGTTGCTGTTGCTATAGAAATTTCAATAATTACTGCAAGACATAAACATATAATATGCTATATAAAAATAATTATTAATCAATAATTAATCATTAATCAATAAAATTTAATCATTACCAATATTACAATTAATTGTTTCGGTTTCCATAATCCAATATAACCAATTATTGTACCTATTAATATAAGGCATCCTATAAAAATTGATGTTGGTATAATAGATGGTATAATTCCATGGAATATTGTACCAAATTTATGTAATGTATCTAATCCTTTAATACCTAATGCAAATAATACAATACCAAATATCTTCATTCAAGTGAATAAAATTAAAGATTAACTTACAACAAAACAACTATTTAATATAATAAATAATTTAGTCCAAAATTGTTGTGGTATTGATAATTTCATTCTGATTGATAAATAAAATAATTGAAAATGTTTTTTTAATAAAAATTTCAACTAAATAGTTCCTATGGCAACAAAATTATAATATAAGTTTTCTGTATTTAGTAGTTGTTGTTGTTGTTGCTGAGAGAAAAACGAAGAAAATATAAAAAAATAACAATACAAAAAAAACTAATGTGCAAAATGAAATACACATTGTATAACATTTCATAAATTGTATGTATGTCTGTGTGTGTGTGTGTGTTGTATTGTATATTCAATGATCATTGATGGTATTGTAAATTGTCAAATCATGGTAAAACATTCTTTTGATTGTTGTTGTTAAGTCAGAGTAATAGGGATGTCAATCAATTGTATATATGCTATGTAATTTTATTGTTAATATGTTAGTGTACATGTCAGTTAGACAGATTTGTAATATGATTAATAATGATACTTGAATTAGGTACAAGTAAACAGATTTCACTTATGATGTATGATACAATGAAGTATATTGGTATATACATTCTTGTCTATAATTCATATAAGATTAACAAATTACATAAGGGAATATATATATTAATGAAGTGTAATGTCTAATTATAATCGGATTGAAATTGTATTGTTCACTTTTAATTCAGTAGTATATAAATAAATTACAAAAATTTTTCACAATATTCATATGAATAATTCACTTGATATTGTTATAATTGAATCTTACGATTGATGTTTAGGATTGGAATTGATCAATCTCTTGTTCGAATATGTGTATACTGTGTGTATTGACTCGATATTGTGTAAATTTACAAGCATTATAAGCAAAGATGGACAGTGTCTAGCAGTAGAATCCAGTTTGACACGCGTTCCGTCCTATTAAGGACTGGTTAGCTGGCTGTACCTGTATTCAAATTGACTTGCACTACGCGACTCGGACCCAGTATCGTTCACTTCAAACGTCATCGCTTTATCCATCTAGCTAGTGAATCCTGAGAGCCACTTGCTAGTGTACTGGACAGACTTTTAACTTCAGTTGATATTGTTTCACTTGAAACATCCTATTGATGTTTAGGACTGGAATTGATTAGTCTCTTATTGGAATATGTACATACTGTGTGTATTACCTCGATATTGCTTTATGTCACAAGCATTCTAAGAAATGATGGATAGTGTCTAGCAGTAGAATCCAGATTGACACGCGTTTCGTTCTATTTGAGACACGTCACCTCGATGTACCTGTATCTCAGAGTTGATGTTCACTTGAGGACTAGAATCCAGTACCGTTCGCTTCAAACGCTAACATTCAATGAAACAATACAAAATGTATTAAAACTTCACCTGATTGCACAAGCAAGTGGTTATCAGGACTGAGTAGCTAAGTGGATAACGTGATGGTGTTTGAAGTGAATGATATTGGGTTCGAGTCCGAGAATGAATATCAACTCTGAGATACAGCTACATCCATCTGACGAGTTTTAAATAGGACAAAACACGAGTTAACCTACATTCCACTGCTAGCCACTATCCATCTCTGTTTATAATTCTTATGAACAGTTATTATTGTTTGCATTATCAAAGTGATGTAAATGTGATAAATGACTGAAGAATATTTATTGATTTCATAATATAAAAATCTTTGTTCAGTTAAACATTAGACGTGTTATTTACTTACTTACGCCTGTTATCCCTCGTGAAGGAGAAAATACCACCCACCAGCACTCTCCATCAGACCTTGTCATCTGCAATCCTTTCCAATTCTTTCCAGTTGTTATTTATCCTTTTCATATCTGCTTCTATTTCCCGACGTAATGTTTTCTTTGGCATTCCTCTTTTCTGTTTTCCTTCAGCTATCCAAATGAAGGCTTGTCTAATGATGCAATTTGATGATTTCCTCAACGTCTTTTTCTAATTTCCCACTCAGCTGGATGCCGGTTTGTTCTCTCTCACAATGGGGTGTTGCAGATGGTATCTGGCAGACGGATATTGAATATCTTCTGTAAACAACTACTTTTAAGTACATGTACATTTTTCATAATATTTGTGGTAATTCTTTAAGTTTTAGATCTGTACAGTGGGACTGTTTTGACTTACAAATCTTCTATTAGAACAGAATTTATTATAATCAACAATGAGACATAACTCTTTGAGTTAAAATGATCAATGTGATATAATTCATTATTTGTACAATGTATTCATTCCGCGAAAGAAGTGACTACAAATTCTAATTAAACATGAATATCAAAGGAACAAAAACAGTCTGATAGGTGTAAAAATTCATCTTCTTCATATATATAAACGTAAATGAAAACATGAAAGCAATATCATGGTATAGATTCAATCAGAAAAGATTTCATTGAATCATTTCATATGTTATCAGTAATTATGATATGTCAATTGAAGCTAAACCACCATGGAAAACCGTATCCGGTGGATAAGGAGGATCCACCTAGGGGAGTTCGAACAACCTGATTCTTAATCAGTCCTCCACATAGGCTCCAGGATCATAGGGAACCAAATAGCATATGAATCTATTGTTGGTCACCAGCTGCCATAGTACTGCATCTCCTTACGTTGCTTCATTGCCTTGTGGATTAGAATTTTATGTCAAAGGCTCGGGATGTGGCCCCCTGCGAAAACCACCTGCTTCGGTTTGGGCACTCGAGCAGTATCCCAGCCCTCACGTTAATCGAATGTTTTATGTGGTGACTCGTTGCACCAATATTTATATGATTAAATTAATAATAAACAAACCCTCAATGTGACGGTGGCTTCATTAAATGAATATATAAACGTGAATTTCATAAGCATATTTTTCAAGGATTTCGGTAATTATGACATCACAAGAAACCTATAGTTCTTGTTGTCTAGATAAATGACAGGATATATTTAAATCAAACCAACTTGGATCAAACAATACACAAACGATCAAAATGTGGTTACATTGAGAAGGAGGGAAAATCTAACCAACTATTTATTATCAGAAGGGGTTTTGTGGAGATTGTAGTGAATTCAATCATTAAGATCATGAGTCAGTTGAAGCTAGACCACCATGGAAAACCTGGAAGCACTGGACGGCCGTTTCGTCCTATTGTGGGACTCCTCAGCAGTGCGCATCCACCGTTGGGTGCCGGGTCAGTGGTCCAGTGGTTAAGTGCTCGCGCGCGAAACCAGTAGGTCCTGGGTTCGAATCTCGCAGGGAGCGAGGTCGTGGATGCGTACTGCTGAGGAGTCCCGCAATAGGACGAAACGGCTGTCCAGTGATCCCGGGTTTTTCATGGTGGTCTAGCTTCAACTGACTCATGATCTTAATGATTGAATCAACTATTTATTGCTAAGAAACACTCCTGTCGACACAATTAAATGAATTGATAAAGAATTGAGAGAAATCTGACAAAAATTCTTATGGAAAGTGCTCATAAACATTGAAATCAGAAGGAATATTATAGTTGAGATTCTGTGAATTCGACGTTCAATATACATGACAAAATGCTTTTATTCAGCTACGTTTTTTGATTTTCTTCAAACAATCCTTTTGAATAACTGGAGTAATGCGCACACAGTATTCGCCATATTACAACACCAATAAATGTCATGGTACATAATTCACAATCAGATTTATTAGGTCAGAAGTACTTTATGATAAACTAAATTTCCGTATTTACAAGGAAGAGGGTTAGTTTTAGAATTATTTGAGTCGGTGAGATTATAATTTATTGACGACTTTTGAACAAAGCTAAAATGGTGTTGGAACGTCCATCTGCACACTAGGGTTAAATGAGGTTTATATATTAGTGTGAGGAATTACAATGTGAGGGTTTACACTTGAACGTTAAGGTAAAGAGTTAGATTAAATGTTTTCATCATCTATAATGCCAAAATAGTATTTAGTCAAAGTGTGATGTGTACTACCGATATCGACAAATATAAGTAGTATGTATCATCAATCGAAAATGTCTGGCAGTAGAAGGTTAAGAAAATCAAAGAAAAGAGAATGAGAATGATTAGCGTGGAAACGAAAAAACAATGAAGTCTAAGATGATCGACTGAAATTTCGCAAATGAAGATTTTACTGTATGGTTCTCAGATTTTACTAAGATGTTTTGTAATTTCACATTCGAATACATTTGATTGTCCCCATTTGTGTTCTCGTTCACTACAAAATGAATGGATTAATATCGCCTCCCAAATGCATGATCTGTTATCGTAAATCCGATTGGTTCGTCTACAGATTACAATCTTATCTTTGAGGCTGATCCAAATAAACAACACTCAAATTATAGGCGTGTAAATCACCAACGTAGATGATCTATGTCGAAATGATTGGAGGCCTACTCGAGTTAGACGTGAGTGGTGTGACAAACTAGCTAACGCCGAAATCACACTTCGCGGTCAGCATCTTACGTGGATTACCCCATTGACGTATCAAGGTACAATAGATGCTTTGAAGACTGTACAACACAAAGGACGTTATTACAGAAATATATTAGTTAAAGTAGATACAAACGAAAGTAAGACCACTGCCGCATGAGCCAGTCCATGGCGTACGACTAACTGATGCGCGTTGGTTGTCCTTGACCTCGACGAGGATTGATGATTTTTTCGATGTTCAATGACCCAACTACCGGATGATTTGGCTAGGGCTCAGTGGAATTTCACTGGCCCTACAGGCGAATATAACAAGTTCAGTAGACACGATTATTACAACTTATTGGAATGACTTAAACCTTTCTGTAAATTAACAAATCGATTTTCCATCCATTTAGGCAAATTCACTAACAATTGATTGGCTGTCATGAAGAACATTGAATAGACAGATTTCTTTTCATTGAATTCATTCAACGAAATCGATCTTTATTCAGAGTTCATGTCATGCAAACGTCTATTTCAGTGAGACAGACAATCCAACGATATGCTAATCGCAGATATCAATCAGAAACGTCAATTAATATGATGGTTACCGTTGGAACAAAAATATCTTTCAGGTGTCACAGTGTAACAAATCTTTCAAAAGCACCAAGTAGACCAAG